TAGGTAGTTCTATATGCTAAACTGTCAGGAACTCCTCGGCCAGATAACAGGCCTGCAGTTCAGTGCCCTGGACCAGCTCGTGAAGAGGGCAGAGGAGAGCGCCTGGGTCAGAATGAGGAAATGGGCAGCCCTGTGTAGCTGGGACTGGGGCCCTGCGATGCTGTCTTACGCTGGTGCAAGAAACAAGTGGTTGTTAGAAATAACACTTCTCCTTCTGCAGTAAGAAGCTGGCAAGTGTTGTGGTTGTAGTGCAGTCTGTTCCATGTCCCCCTCCTTCTCTGGATTTCCAACTTAGCTGAAGTAACACTTCAATGTTACCTTTTACTGTAAGGTATGGTGAAGCTGCCATATTCTCTACTCTTGCTCCCTTCTGGGAAACAAGAAAGTCAGTTTTAGAAGTCTGCATCAATTATGAGAATTGAGCAGCAGAAAAATGTGTTAGAAACATCATTTAAGATATACATAGTATTTTTCTTTATGGTGTTGATATGCTTAGCTTCTGCTGATTTCAATGGCCGTCAGACACGTGAGGATAATACCAATGTAGTACTTTTAAAATACGTATTAAAAATCCCACACTTTTCTGCTAAAACATCATGAAACCTATAGAAAACATAGAAGATGCTACTGTTATCAAATCAGGGCACTTGAAGAATGGCTAAAACACATGATCCTCCTGCAAAGAAAATACACTAAATAAGGTTTTGATGCACACAATGCCAGTTCAGCAGTTCCAAGCAAATTATTTGGCATGTTTAATGCAACTAGAAATTATGTTTAGGTTTGGTGGTTTTTTTGTTGGTTTGTTTTTTTTTTTTAAAAAAAAAACCTGAGGTGGTCCAAGTATTTTGTCAGTTTTAAATTTCTTTGCCAGTTTTTTGTCAGTTTTAAGTTTCTGAACTGGTTTAGACTCAGATTCTTCCAACTGCTTCTCCAGTCCTGTTAGCAAGCATGACAATGCAAACTACTGTTAGTGATTGGAAGTCAATAATTACCTGAAAACGAGATGACCAGGCTAAGGTCAAACTAACATTGTACAGGAAATGACTTACCTACACAGAGGTACTAGAACAGGACTGGTTTCTACAGCAGTTGAGTTCATGAAGCCAGCTAGTGTGAGAGAACTTTAATCTTGATAGTAATACATTTACCCAGTGAGTAAGTAAAAGCCCTTGATTTGCTTTTCTTTTATAGTAGTAATTGGAGCCAATGTACTTAAAAGTGCCATCATGGAAGCCATGGAAGTAACAATGATTTCTAAAAGCCAGTGACAAGCCTTCCATTTCACTGCTCCTGCAGTGTAAGAACAATGTCTAAAGACTGCCAGGGTTAAAACAGGAAGTTAGACTTAACTGGAAATACGTCATCAGGCATGCCGGCTTTTCAGGTATTGTGCAAAACATTTAAATCTGTTTCCCTAATTTGTCAGCTGCCTCTACTATGCAAGGCATCCTTAACTGTAGATTTGTGCTATTTAATTAAGTAGCAGCCAACAGACAGAAGAAACCTTTAAAATAAGTGTACATACTCTAGTAACAACACTGCTGGACTGATTTTTTCAGAGGCTGAAACAGCTGAATGTAACCCATACCTGAAGAGTGCGTTACGTGCCTCAATGCATTTTGAGTAAAAAATAAAATCAATACATTCCTTATAATTAAAATTCTAGATAGGTTTCTGGCTGCTGGTCTGCTACTAGGGAAATAACCCTAATCATGACATTCTTTAAGAATATGCCATCTTAGAATCTGTTTTCTTTTCTGTTTAGTTTCTTTGAAACAGAGTACTACTTGTTTCCTGCTTGCACAGGAACATCACTGTTGTTTTCCCTTTAATGCTTTCAATAAAAACACCACCAGAAGTACATTGGTGAGACTGAATTTTTTTCAAAAGAAACTCAAATAAACTACTAATCACTAGTTTAGACATGTAGTTTTATTGCTTAATCTGGTTTTACTCAGCAAATAGTGTAATGGCACAGGGGTTTTTTGCAAATGTAAAGAAACCCTATTCTCTGCAGATAAATTAATGCAGGTTTAAAATGAAGTAAAAATTTTAGTTTGCTCCTTGATACATGGGAGCAATTAAGTAACCTGAAGACTGCAACACTATTAAAAGATGTGGGTTCTGCTCCTTTCCCCTTTTTTACATTGGTGGTAAATCATGTGGTAAACAATGTTTAGTTGAATGAACATGCAAGGAACAAATCAAGATTTCTTTCAACTTCTTTTTTTGGCACCAGTGCAGCCTTATAAAGACTTGGTGTGTAATTTCAAAATTGACCAAAATTAAAATATGAAATCTTAGTTTTAAAACCCACAGGACAAGGGGAAGAGGAATCACAAGTGTTTGATAAACATAAGCACGTTTGATGTCGTTTGAAATGTTAAGCCATTTTAAACGTACTAATCTTAGTGAATGTAACTGAATTCTAATTTATATCCAGCAGTGTTTTGACATCACAAATTTTAAGAAACTGTTTAATTCTTAATTGTCTCGCATAGTAAAATCAAGAATACAAAAACACATGTTCAGCTTCCTGACTACTTAACTATATTTTTCTTAGCAAAACCAAATAGCATTTTTAATATAAACCCTGCATTTAAAAGATCCTGACATGAAGATTAAATGTTGCCAAGAGAAGGGGTCCTGGTTTGAGCTAGAACAGAACTGGTTCTCTTCAGTCATTTTACTTGCAGCTCAGCATCTGTCACTCAGTGGCCAGCCCGGTGCTAACCTGTGACAGGGGGGAATCAGCTTTAGGAGAGTTTAAAAAAATTATGTCAACCTCCCTGGGTGAAAGACACCATTTTATACTGCTGTAATTTAAACATGACCAAAGCCTGGTTAGCAGAGAAGTCAAGGGCACTAGCTTTGTTCCCCCTTCCCTCAAAACAGAAGCTCTGTATACAGTAACTCATAGGGTAATGCCTCCTTTACAGGTAAGTCCCTCCCGACACCTGGAAAATGTTGGGCTACGTTTAAGCTTTGGGTGGAGCAAGAAGAACGCAGTCTGGCAGTAACTGAAGGACGTGATTACCAATTTTAGCAGCTCCAGTCCAATGATGCAACACTGAAAGAGATCTAGGTGTGAGTCTATTTAAGCGTGACCTGTCCAAACAGTGTGACTAGGGGAGGTTAGCGCCTCTGCACAGGACCCCTGTCCCGGAACTCTTCAGAGCCCCTTGCTGTATGCAGAGAAGCTCACTGCTCAGCTGGCACCTGCTAGCCATGGGTTTAATCTAAGTACCGCTGCTTTACATGCCAAGTAGCGTGTAAATGCCTGGACACAGGAGAGCCTACTGTCCGTGTATGGAGCGCACACTGAGCAGGTCTGCACGGACAGCGACAGGGAGAAGTCTGAGCAGAGCTCACCGACCTCAGGCCAAGTAAAGTGCAAATGCAGCTGGGTCACATATGGATTACACGCATCCAGTTCAAGATGCTCTTTTTCTTTCCTTTTCATCCTCAACTTGGGAAGAGCTGCTTTCTTCCAGTTTGCTTCTCTACACACCCACAGTTATTAAAAACTAATACTAACCCATGAAAATCTGTTCTTGGTGTTAGTTTCGTTCCTGAAGAAATAATTTCTTCATAATGCAGCTCAGAAGTTTGTTGTCATAAATCGGTGTGAATTAAGTTTACAGGACAACTATGATAAGCCTTCCAAAATTAACTGTAAACTAACTTGTTTATGTACCAACCCCACTAGCACCCATATAACTTCAAACGTTACACACCTGTGTAGGTTAAGATCATTACATTTGCTTCAGCCAATGTTATAAATTTGATGAGGAACAATAAAAGTCTCATCTAACTTACCTGTGATGTAGCCTTCTAAAGCTTTTGGCACCAGTGACTTTGCAGTTCTTAGGTCCTCAGCTGAGCATTTGCCTGCCTCAAGCCCAAAGGACATTCCCATTCTTTTCAGCACCTCACTGTCATCATGAATCTCAAAAGTGTTATCGAAATTAAAGAGGTATTCAAATCTGCATGTAAAAAGTCAAAGCGAGATGGTTTTGAAAAGAACACAGCTATGCTTTTTTTGCCTATTTTTCCTTTTTTTTTTTTTTTTTTAGTATGCACTGAGGTGCATAGATTCTTCATTATCTATAAAGGGTCCTTAAGGAAAAAAAAAAGTGCAGCAAATGCTTTTTCTCTTCTGCTTCTGTGACTGGCATGCTTACAGGGTTTAAAATGGCACTTTCTCAATTAAAATAACTTCACCACTGCAGGAAGAAAATCTAAAATTTTCTACCTCATTAAACAGACAGAAAGGGGAAGAGGGAGGCCTTACTAGACATGAACCTCATTTGTACTAAATCCAGTATTTTTAAAGGTCACCTGCAGCCCTGTCACCAAAATAACTATTTTGGTTTTGCTTCTTTTACATTTCACCTTCTGTTCTAATGTGCAACACCTCCTGTGAACTGATCTATTTACCTTGGTGTAACTTTGCTTTTTTGGATGCGGTTGGATGCAGCTAGCAGAGCAGTCTGTTCAGCGTCCTGCATGTTCACAGCCTACCACTTCTGCTGCAGGACTCTCAAAATGTTTTTCATTGCATGTAAAAGTGGAGATAGGGATATAAACTTAATACAGCTTTAAGAAAAATAGCGTCACCTAGACTGGCCTTATGCTATGATCCCAGGCTATTAAAAAGCCTGGACAGCACTGGTCCCGGGATTACCCTGTAAGGCTCCTTCCTAGTACCTCATTTTCTGCTGACCAAACCTTTGTCCCTGGAAAAGCAACCCATCCATGAGACACGGCCTTTAGAAGAGAACTCACGGGTGGGTCTTCCATCAGCTCTCCAAGCTCATGCATGTCACCTGGATTTTCTCAATAGGTTTTTTTTTTAATACTTACTTTCTTATACCTGATCCAGTAAGTTTGGAAAAGTTACATCTTTTGTGCTTATACACAAAATTTTCATCTAGAAATCTACATGCTTTGTACTAGGTGTAACTGTCAGTTACAGGCATCAGTTCTTTGGTGACTCATAGGGTATTGTAAAATCTGTTGTTTATGCTGCTATATTTATGTAAGCATAACCACGTTAAAAGGGAAAATAAGATGTGTCACTGTACCTTTACTGGGTACAATTGCATCCCTGCTACCTAGACTGGTGCAGCTCAAGTCACTTAACTATGTTTACACCAACAGGGGATGGGAGAGCAGTGTCATACCAAGTTACTACCAGCAAGTTGTGTAGTTAACTAAGTAATAACTGAATCCAGCTTTTACGGTACAGGATGAAAGGCTGTATTTATTCATGGCTCTGCCTTTCTCCTCCCAAGTGTGGTGGTCAAATACTGGATGCTAGAAAGGAGTGTAACTCCTTTCCTCCCCTGCAGGTTTCCCAACAAAGAAGCTTACAGTAATATTTCTCCAGTAGAGTTTCTAGCCACCAGCAGCTTCTGACACAGGAAGTCCTACTCTTCTACCTTTGCTGTTAATAGCTACTTGAAGATTTTGTTTCAGGGACTTGACATGACCATTTTTGAACTTATGTAAACTCCTGGGATGAACAACATCAAACACTATGATTTGCATAGACTAACTGGTACAAAACCACTTAAATTCTTTTGTCTAAAACCTGTCACCTGGTATCTTCACTTAATTTTAACTTTGATAAGAAACCGTGTACAGCTGTTCTGTATGCACATTCCCCATGTCATCCGTGATTTTATAGGCACCTCTGAATCCACTGTCCTCTCTTTTCTAGGCCAAAGAGTCCATCTCTTCCTTCTGTGAAAGCCTTCTCGTAGCTTCAGGCATTCTTGAGGCCCTCCTGTGTCTCTCTCCTGGTTATGCTCTACTCTTTCCAAGCATAAGACACCATATAGTATTCCAGATACAAAAGCACAGTACGTATTATTTATTACTGTTTTTCCTAATAATTCCTAGCGTTATTTTGGCCATTGCTGAGAAATCAACTTTTGTCCTCATAGAGTGATCTGCTGGGCTGCCATCTTACTATTTAGCGCTGAAAGCTAGGTCCAGAGGCCCGTACTGTGTGTGTAAAGTTTGGGTATGGTTTCTGTCTCTTTCCCATGGCAAGTGCAAATTTAATCTGGATTTTCTGCTCTTGCAGGCAATTCTTTCTCTAAGGGTACAGGAGCCTACTTCCTACATGTTTTCTCTAATGTATATCATCATATCTCCAATGCAAAATCATCTGCATTTCCTGTAAGAATGGAGATGTTCTAATTTTCCAAGTTTCTGATACATCTGTTGTGTCTCAATGCTTGTTTAAAACGAGGTATTAGGGTTCCTTTTTTTTTCTTTTTTCCTAAGACCCACAGCATTTATATAGAAGCACCATATACACTAAATACTTTTTCCTGTTCAGGTGCTTCATCTTTTCAACATAATTATTAATTTCTTCCTTTTTATCTAAAGACTCCTTTTCTTTACTCCCAACTTCAGGAATATCATTCCCAGTATGCTGCTTGGCACCCATCTGCCTTCTCAAACTCTAAACACTACCCAGTAACCTCTTTGTTTTACATGCGAGAAATTTCATACTGTTTTGGCTAAGTAAAGCCTGGTCTTGCATAGGAAAAAACTTGGAGGACACAAACCCATGTTCCTCATGATGCTAAATCCCCATTCCATGTACCATTTTTCCGAGCAGTTATTTTCTTTGGAAGATCCTCTGTAAATACCATTCTGAGTAGAGCAGCTAACACTGTGAGCTTATCTGTTCATTGGACTCTCTAACATCACCCGCTGTTGCATCGCAAATACCGACCAACCAGTGCTTTATGTAACTGCTGTCTGGGAGAAGAGAGGAAAACGGAAGCCCATTACAACCGCGGGTTATTAACTGAGGTTGAAACCAAGTGAAGGGCAAGCACTCAAGCTGACCAGTAAATGGGGCCAGGCAGCGCAGATACTCCCCAGTAAGCTACAGATTTTGAATTCTCCCAGCTGAGTGACCACTTTTGCCAGCTGCCTTATTTAGCAGATCAGTGTAACAGGTTGACACACTGGCAGTTTCTGGCACTGCTTACCTATATACTGCTGCTGCCACGGATCAGCTGCACAAATAACAACCGCAGTGGAACGCTTGTTTAATTTGGGTTGTACAGCTAATGATCTCCAGATGATGGTAACGTTGAAGCTGGGTTATATAAACTGAAATACCAACAACTTAAATAATTTTGGTGTGCTCATTTTCAGTAGTGTTTTCTTACAGTTTGAGATTGTAGAAGCGTGTTAGGCTTGTCTAGATCCCAAATGCCAGTTTAATCTCTGACAACTTCAAAGCAGCAGTTCTGAAGTTTCAGCATGAAATCCTTGAACTTTTTAATGACTTCAAACCTAAATATAGAGCTGTTTAAAAGTGCATGAAGAACTGTATAGTATGCCTATAAAATAAGTGTATAGTTAAGCTAAACCAACATTGATCCTAAAATTCCCAACCTGCTGAACTGCAGTGCTGATTGGAGTATTCCAGAAGTTTTGTCACAGAATGTATCAGCCTTCAGTCCTATTTTCTACAAAAGTTCAACTTTTAATAGTATTGCTTTTTTGCATGTTGGTGCTTAGGTTACTAGAGACTGTCTATTTTTTGCTGTATGTTAATTGACTTGAGGTTCAGTGCAGGATTTGTATAGCACAGAGTGAAATCTGTAAGCTACAGTATTAAAGCAAAGCCAGCTATTTTCAGCTAATAAACTAGTTGTGATCCGATTAACAGTTAACATTACCTCATTCTTTCAGCCATCTTTTCACAGGATGAAGAGCACAAGCACGTAAGTGGAAGATTTCCAGATTAATACAGGAGTACAACTATAGCAGTTCGCTTAAAAAGGCAATATTTCAAGTTTCTTTATAATTTCCTTCCTTCTTTTCCTTCAGAGAGCTACATGCAACCATTTTTGCTATTAAAAGACACTTTCAAAGTTGTTGTTATCACCTCTAAGATGTTACTTTTGTGTTGCATGGATCACCTTGTGTTTCTGACTGAATCATTTATGTCATACTAGGAATAAGAATTCAGAAACACTGCTACATGGCTTCGTGAAAAGCTAGTGCTGTCCTAGTATAGAACTTCATCCAGTTACTTCTCCTGTGCAGTGAATGCTCTTTGAAATGCCAGTCTGCAGTCCCTTTTACAACAGTGAAAGGCAGCCTGTTTTAACTAGCGGTTGTAAAGCAACGTTGATAACTTACTCCTGTTACCCCTGCAGTTGCATTAAATATTTAAAAAAAAATGCAAACCAAAAGACAGCCTTGAAGTGACGGTGGCAAATTTAAATGCATAATTAGTTTTAGTTAACTAGAAAAATTTCTCTCATTTGTTCAAAGAAAAATTCTAGTTCACAAAGAAAATAAAATTCTAAAACTGGATTCTATAAACACTCACTTATCACTTGATATGCTGCAGTCTATAACTGTTCTTTTGCTCGTGTTGACAATTAAGAAAGGCAGCTGTATCGTTGAATTCAGTGCTGGAGGGCCTTGGTTTTGTTGTTCATTTTGCTGATTTCTTTGTACCAAGTTTTTGAATGCTATTTGCTGTAGAAAGAAAGAAAGAAAAAATCATCACTGACAATAGAAGAGCAGACGTCAGTGTTTCCAGGAAGTGGAACTTCATAGCTCTTATTTACCAACTCTCAATATCTCCAGTAATTTTCTGTCAAAAAAGTAAGTTGTGGCCTGATTTCCTCTTTGCACTCATGAAGCTCACCAGAACAGAAGTTAAACCACAAATTTGTCACACATATCCTAATGGCTATACCCCTGGCTGTGCCCCCCTCACAATCCCTGGAGCAGAAACAAGAAAGGAGCAATAAAGTTTGGTGGAGAATGGTGCCCCAGTCCTTTGGAAAAGGCACTGGAATCTGAGGTCTTCTCTTGTTTTATATGCGTAATCCCCTCAGACTCGGAGCTAGTTACAGTGAAACAAAAGTTAACAAATTACAGCATTCCCCCACTTCCCATGATCTATATTCTCTTCCCCTTCTCATCCATTGCCCCCTTTTCTCTCTCTAAAGAGTTAGTTTCGAAATTCTTCTCTAAAAGTTTTTAAATGGGTGCCGTTCATGACACTACTCACCCTCTATAGAATTCTTATATCTGACTGTTTATGTATGAAAATGTGTGTTTTTAGGAAATGTTATTTGAGGGGTTGGAAGTCAGTGTACTTACCCATTTTGAGGCACTACTTATTCCACTTAAGGGGAAGATGGATAGACAGAATCCCAAAGAACTGGTAAATCATTTGACAATGAACATAATCAAGGAAATAATGACAGGTGTAGATAGTGAGTGAATGCAACACCGTCATTTTCAGACTAACAGTTAAGAGGGCCTGAGCTGCCTTAGTTTTCACCAGGATAATTTCATGTTACTGTTAGAGAAGCTGCTGATTTATTAGATCAGACAGATAGAATTGTGCCTTAAGTAGAGAAACAGTTTTGGTGACGAAAAAAGGAGAAGCATCAGGTATTTAAAAGTTTCAGTGCATATCTACTTACATGAAAATTGTGTCAATATAGTTGCACCAGGAAAAAAAATATAGTCTTACTGCCTGTAACTTCACAAAAAAGTTTGACTGCATTTAAATTACTGAAAGTCTGCACAGACCAAAACACTTAAGAATGCTCATAACTGTATTTTTAAAATGTTACTTTATAAGTGAAGATGCATTCGAAATCTATTTCTGCAAGCAAAGCCAAAACCCAAGTCATCTCAAAGGTGCGTGTCAGAACGCAGGAGAGCTGAGTGTGGCAGCCCTCTGCTCGTAGGATCCAGAAATGTCTGTCTCCCCCAAAACAACTCCGTACACGCTCACACAAGTTTGGTTGTAAATGCCATAGCTTAGAATCGAAGAGAAGTTTTCCAGTAAGAACTACGCAGAGGGAGCAACTTTGGGGGGACTTGGAGTCGACAAAGGGCACTCGTGAGATTTTCCCATTCCCGCTGATGCTGACAGAGCTTCAGCAGACACTTACAAAAGCTTATGCAGCAAGCTGTTTTACAGCAGGTGAAAATGAACCAGAAAGTGACCTTTCCAGATTCAAGCGTGAGACTTGTCTCCCTAGTATATCACAACTGCTAAATCAATCTAGAAAGAACTTCAGAAGTTCTAGCATGTTGGATTTGCACTTAATAATTTCATTTATAGTAAAAATAATTAAAATTAAATATACCTGCAGCAGCAGTTCTTGTAGTTGGGCTCGCTTCTGTTTTATCCTTTCAATCCGCTTCTGTTTTTCTATCTTAAAATATAAATGTAAATGCATCAAGATATTTACTTAGTCACCTTGTCTGTTCCACTGTGCAAACTGAACAGGCTTTACAGCTACATCAGTGTGCAAGCACCACTACAAAAATCCACCCTTTCTTTGTAAATGGTGGTGAATTCCACGGCACAGTAAGTAAACTGCACAAGTCTTTTTAGGCCCTACCCATTTGCCATATATATTCTTCTTTTTCAGACTAACTGCACAGTCACATGAATTTCTTCATAAAACAGGTCTGACAAACTGTAATTTCTTTCTTTGTTGACAATTTTAACTCCAGTAAAGAATCAATTATTACAAGAGACTGTATTATTTCCCCACCCGTTCCTTCTCTTTTGTATTGTGCCCTCAGTGCCAATTAGCACTAAATTACACACTTGCTTGAGGGGATGCTTTGGGATTGTTTTTTTTTTTTTTTCCTCTGGCCCTCCACTCTGTTGGAATTGCGCACATCCTTGCCACTGTTCCACCTGCAAGCTACTAGACATCGGTGTGTGGAGGCTGGGCTCAGGATCATCACCTGCAACTTTCCAGTGACCTCCACTTTTTGTTTGGATTACTCATGGGAGACTTGATTAAACTAACAAGATTTCAGCAACAAAAAGGGGGTAGAGGGAACATTTTCTACGTGAACATGAACACAGAATCCATTTCTTGCAACAGTTTTGTTAATGCCAGTTTATGGGGCAAAGCCATCTTCAACCTAAATACGCAGCAGTGCTGGATGCCTAAGGAAGTGGCAGGGACAGCCAGCAGTGTTTTGAATAGTGCTCTGGGGCAACGCTAAAGAACTGGACAGTAGTCATCATGTTTAAATGGTAGTTTTCCTCACCATCCTGTTGGTGCCAGCACTGTATTACTGCGGCCAAAAAGATTAAACTCTGAAATTACTTGTTCATTCAACCACTGAAACTAAACCTTAGCTGGCCTAACCCCCCTGTTTTATTTACATTGTTGTTTGTGATGGTGTCCGTGTCCCGCCCCCCCTTTAAAATGCTTCCCTCCGAGCACAGTACTTCTTTGCTGGGACAAATATAGAACTCTTAAAACCAATAAACAATACAGATATAATTTAGACATGGTTTCTATATAACAAGCTTTTTTGTACTGATTTAGCGGTTTTGTACTGGTAATCTTATTATGGAATTACACTGTAAGAAGACCTGGCACTTTATACAGCTTTAAAAGCAAAATTAATTCTGATTTTCACACCATGAAAGTGCAGCTTTATTTTCTGTTCTTTTCCATTATGTCATAGGAAGCAAAATTTTAAGAAAATATGCCTGGCTTCCATTTTGTTCCTATGTAATTAGAGCCTGAAACAGTGAATAGCATATGATCACTGTAGATGACACAATGAAATTAAAGTTCCCTGTTTGTAACAGTAGCCTCTACTGAAGATATTCACATTCACATGAATGCAGGTAATACGTAGATTTAGGCACGATTTTTTTTTTTTTTTTTTTTTTACAAAAGAATCCTGGAGTATCATGATTGAGCATATGTATACTCCTTGGGTGGGTGCATTTGCCAGGTTGCTGTAACGGACAAGGATAGTAAAAGCTTTTTTCTTACCATGTCTAGAAAGACAATTCACGTAAATGAACCTGCCCCCAAAAAATTGTTCTGTACTGGAGAAGCACCCCACCCACCTTATAAGATATTTACTGTCACAAGTGTCACAAATATAATACATATTAAGATGTGTTTACAGACATTACAGCACTCTGCAGTAAATACAGTAACTTCTGCTTTTTATTTATAGAGCATTGCCTGAAGGACAAGCAACATTTGTGCACATGGATTCTGGCATCCCTGCAAAAACATGGTAACTCTTAGCCTGCTGGAAAAATAATGGAAAGAACCAATAAGTAAAATGTCATTTTTTTTCCCCTGCTGGTTCATAACTGGTATCTGACATCCTACCAGGAATTATTTTTCAATTTAATTTCCTTTGAATGGCATTTCCAGGTACGGACTTTAATAGAAAATTGGTCTCCTTTTAAATGTATACCATTTTGCAAGCATAACTGCACCATGAATTCTTTTGACTTTCTTCTGGTTAATTCAGGCTGCTACAGACTTGAATCTTAAAAGTAATCCCTGATTTAATCAATGTCCATTTTTGTAAGGTAAAGGGTTTTTTTAAACTTCATATAATATGTACTAAATAAAACTGAACTAAGCATAAACATATCCCTTCAGTTTATTCAAATATCAAAAGTTGTAATTTTCAGAGTGTGCAAGAATCAAAACCTCAAAGAGGTTCAAATTGAGAAAAAAACCCTTTTCTAAAGTAGAGCAGCTCCATTATCACAACCTCTGAACTATACAGAACTTCCCATCTACCTCACTTTACCTCTAGATTCTGACATTCCTGAGCAGAGTTTGTAGGAAGTCCGATCCATCTGATTTCCTTCTTCTCCTTGGAAATTATGTTCATTGCCATCAGGACATTAAGGGCATCGTAAACTCTCCGTCTAATATTTTTCTGATCATAAGCCTGCTAAGAAAACAATGCAGCATTCATTACAAGGAAAGAATTCAAAAAGCAGACTGCCCTCATCCTTCACAGATAGGTAGAAGATAAAAAGCCAAAATGGCAGGTCAAGTCAGAACGGTATTAAAACGTGATGCCTCCGCCTGTGGTGCTGCTTGGACAGCACATGGCGCGTGTGGTTGCAAATGGAAGCTTCAGGCCTGCCCGAAGCCTCTGGGCAGCAAATTCCCATCGTGGCAAGTCTGTTCCAGTTGCAAAGCCTGACAAGACCACCTAGGGTGGGTACAAGGGTAGCCTTTTCTTAAAGGTAAGTCTTTTGGCAGACTTCTCTATTTTATTTATCACTTGGAGGGAGTTCAATTCTTCATTTTAATTCTGTGTTTTCAAATTTCAGAGGTAAGTCTTTTTAGCTGGGAAGCAGTTAAATAAGTGAAGGAAAGTACGGAGTTTGGCAGGACTGTGCAGAATGGAAGGGACATTATTCCATGATAAATCAGACAATTTTGTAAAGGTGTAACAGATTTCAACACGTATTTGCTTACCGAATCTGTGGCTAGGTGGCTGTTAGAATTTGTGAATTCTGATACCAGCTCATCAGCGACTTCGTTGTATGAAGTTGTTCCTTTACGTTGAACTTTTTCACATACTTTCATTGAAAAATGCCTGAGACCCTTCCCATTTTTATCTCCTTTTTTGCTTCTCTTACTGGAATGAGAAAACTAATTATTTTGATACACTGAATGTTAATAACCTACTTTGTTACACAGTAAAAGGTCTAGTTTTTGCAACAGGAATCAGGACTCATGACATTATTTACTACCTAAATGAAAAACTGTTCTGCTTTTCTGAATCAGTTTCTTGTTTCTTACAAGCTGGTGAATGTACACGGAAGTCCTTTCCCCTTTCTTGGTGATTTCTACATTGATAGTATTTGAATACTGCTACTGGGCAGATGCTTAAAAAACTGCATTTGTAATTCATCTCCAGGTAGTTTCACAAAGAAGCAAACAAAACAAGAGGAAAAACCTCACAGAGTGTTTCTGTGCCTGGAAGCCAGATTTACAGGGAACTCTCATGTTTGTGCTTAAAATAGAAAGGCTCAGACATCCCTATTTACAATCCAGCAGAAAATACCTTAATTCTCCTAACGACCAAGTCTAACGTCTGTGCTGTCATCGTGAAGACTGAGATACAGGAATCTCTTTTGTGGAGAGTAAGTGCATATTCATTGGGTTTTATGGTGCCAAATCAGTAACTGGCAACTGTCAGGGTTATTTTCCATTCACTTTCTTCCTCCAGAAAAGCAAGAGCTTAGTTAATGGTAATGGAAAAAAGAGAAGCAATTGGCTTTACCACACACACTAGATTTGGATGCATATTTCAACAGCATTAAAAAAAAGCTTTAGAAAGCTCAGTTCAGCTGTGTTGTGTTGTTTGGGTTTTTTTAATTACAGTTTTACAAGTTGGTTTGATAATATGTTTCAGGGAGATCTGTTATTTTACATAAAAAGGCCTAGTTCTGTCAACAGTAACAAGCTAAGGAAAACATTAAAATAGTAGAATGCTTTTCTAAATTTTAATGTATTTAAGAAAAAGAACACTGGAAAGAAAGACCAAAGAAAAGGAAGAATGGAAAGGAACACCTGAAGATTTGAAAAACCCCAACACTCCTAATCCGTACACAGTTATTACAGTTGAGTAACCCCTGATAGGTAAACAAACAAAACCAGGGCATTCAAAGAAGTTCTGGAAGCAAAGGAACACATCATCTGTTTACAAGTATTTGTCACATTGAAAACTAGAACAGTCCTGTTTCTGAAGACGTGTTGTGTTTGTTTTTCACAACTCCCAGAATCATCAGTAACAGCAAATGTATTTATCAGGAAGTGATAAAGTGCGAGAAATAACATATAACAGAGCTTCTACATGGGGGAGTGAAAACTGCTGGAAGTGGGAACTGGCACCACCTCTGTAACGGGCAGACCTGAAGAAGGAAAACAGGTATGATTGTATACATAAACCAGGTATGTCTGTGTTCCGTAATACTCACCTTTCTGAAAAATCTGACTCTATAAATTCTCGAGTCCGCTTTCTGTCCCTAGGAAAAAACAATTCAAACTTAGATGAAAACTGCACTATGTATTTAGACCAACAAACCAACTGTTTGAGGCCTAGCTGGGTACTAGTTTGCTGCTACATGTTTACTGAAGGGGGAAACTAGCACATACACAGCTTGACAAAATTTGAGAGAAGGTGGTTAGGACTTTGGAGGCTCTCTGAGCTCACTGCCAGACAACTTCTGTTCCCAGTTTTACCACGCTTTGCCTGTATGATTTTAGGGAAGTCACTTCATCTGGAGCTACAGGAAGTGCTGATGTGAGCTAGTTAACCAAATCCCATCAAAAAGGAGAAGCTGGGCTCTTTTGAAAATTCCCATTTAAAATTCCTCCATGTGGAAGAAAAATGCCTTTAACTAGTCCGTAAGATATACCCTGTATTTTCAGGATCCTGAATGCTTTGGTACCTTTAAAACGAGGTTAAAGAGTAAAAAGGTGCATACTAGAGCTGATGCATACACAGCTGAAGAGAGTTACTCTGAAGAATAGCTGACAAGAATTTTGCAGAGGATTGGCAGCCG